AAATAATAAATAAAATATCTGAAATAAATAAGTTTATGGTTTTTAAAATATTTTAATTTGATTTTATTTCAGTTAATTTCTAGTTTCAAGTAACTGGATTTCTATGCAATTTTATTTCAGTTTTGGTTTCAGTTATTTTAGTGCATCTAAATGAAAATGGGAAATGTTTCCTTGGCAACTATCTGAAATAAAGTGAGTTTAATTGTTTATATTTTATTAAAATTTTTATTTCTGCTACCGTTTTTTTTAAATTTGAAGTAACTGATTTTTTACGTAGTTTTATTTCAGTTTAAGATTGAGTTATTTTAGTACTTCAAGTTAAACAAAATGTTAGTTTAGTTAGTTAAAATAAGTTCATGTTTTTTAAATATTTTATTTCAGTTAACATTTCAAGTAACAATTTTTAAGTTTAGTTTAAGTTTTTAGTTTTTTTATGTCATTTTATTTCAGATTTAGTTATTTTAATATTTCAAATGAAACTAAGTGATAATGAGAAACGTTGCCTTGGCAGCTAGCTGAAATAATATTTTAAAATATTTTATTTAAGTTCAAATTAGTTTTATTTCAATTAATGAAAATGTTTTGTTTTGTTTTTTAGGTGCATTTTTTTTAAATATATAAATGTTACGTTTTTATATAATTTTATTCATATTAGTTATTTAATATAAAAAAAAAATTTTAAGTTTCCATTTAGTTTAAAAAAAAATGCATTTTCAATTAATTTTAAGTTATTTTTAGTAAATGATAACAGCCCTAAGAAGTTCCAAGACACAGAATGCAATCTGCAATGCAAATAATTCTGTATTAATTATTTAACATTAAAAATAATTGCAAAGCTGCATAAATACAACGAGTGTCTCACCTGCATGTAAGCGTGGTTGGTGGGATGCAGGTCGTCTCCCAGCGGGTTCGGGCAGCTCCCCTCGCAGCGGTACGCGTTGTACTTCTTGGGGAAGACGATCCAGGAGCCCCATCCGATCTGATTGAAGTCCACATGCATGTCGACCCTCCTGCACTTGGAGCTCTTCCCGGCCGGACTCCTGAGTGGCTCCGGGTTCCTCACCGGCTGACCCCTGCGGCCCCGCTTGCTCCTGTGTGGCTTGTCTCTCCGCACCTCCTTTCCTTCGCTGTTAAACAAGAACTTGGACTTCTCTGCTGTGTGCAGGAGACTAGCTCGGTCCTGCTCGCTCTGTCCAGAGACGGTGTGTGAGAAGACCAGCAGCATGGCTCTGTGACGGATCCCGTCCGCAGCTTTACTCCCGGAGTGCAGAGCGTGTCTCGCGGCTCTCCTCTCGGAGAGTTTGGGGCCGATCCAGTTTAGGAGCAGGTCTGTGGCGTTGTAGACCCTCCAGTGATGGGAGACGCTCATCAGAGAGGAATCGGACAGTCGACCCAGCGTCTGGTCCTGCTGGTGTCGGACCTCCACCGTGATGTTCGTTTGCTGCGTTTCTTTGGGAATACGAATCCTCAGCTCCGCCGCCTGGATCTGACGCTCGGACAGAACTGAGGAAAGGTCGAAGTGTATGACGTAGTGTGTATCTTGATTGGTCAAACCTGGAAGAGACAAAGACAATACATGAGTAGATGTCACATATATGTCACATATGATTATATGTCAGTCATATTTAGATTATTGTCAATGACCAATATCCTTGCAGGCTTGCTAAAAATAATTTTAATCAATTTTAAATAGTGCTAGTTTTGCAAATGAACTCTTCATATATATATATATACACACACATGTAAAAACAGATAACTTTTAACAATTTTCAAAAATCATTGTGCATTTCAATTAATCTCAATCAAACTGCAGTCAGGTTATTTAGCTAACTAACACAATAAAAACAAGATAACATAATAAAAAACATGATTTTTGAAAATCGAAAAAACCCTGTTTTAATTTTAATTTCAGTTAAAGTTTTAGTAAATTTAAAATAAATATATATTTACATTTTTTTTTAATAAAATACAAATAAATGTATTTTTATTTTATTTTCTTTCCTTTCCTTTTCTTTTAGCCTCATTTGATAACATTATTTTTAAGCTCCACATATAATTATAAAAAAACAGTTTAGACTTTGGCAAAACTTTGAATTGATTTAAAAATAAATGTTACAATTTTAAATAGTACAAGTTTTCAGTTGAAGCTGGTTGAAATTCAGCAGATTATACATTGATGGGCAATTATATCATCCATCAACACCTGAAAAAGATGGAAATCATGGAAAAACAAAAAATGGAAAAACATCTAAATATATAATTTATTTAGCAATTTTGCATATGCCTCATTTGATAACATTTTTGGGACCATATATTACTAAAAAACTGTTTAGACTGGCAAAAATTGTAATTTATTTAAAAATAAAAATGTTACAAATTGAAAAGGATAAATAAATTCAACTGAAATTTGGCATATTATATCATGCATCAGCCACTGATACATTTTTTAAATCGAAATATATATAATTTATTTATTTTGCAATATTGAATATGTCTCATTTGATATCGTTATTAAAATACGTGATTATAACACCACTCTCATATCTGATCACATTCATATGACTAAATGAATGATTAAATATTTAAGTCAAAATGAACTTTTTTCCTTTTGATTTTAGGGTGAAATGTGGCCTGTTCTTGACAGATTTTGTGAGATTCACCCATCTGAAGACGTAACCCATCACTATGGCTCTTGGCTCTTTTGAGATGCATTTTTCTCCAGGACTGACTGTCAGGCACACAAACCCAACAGTAATGAGGTGATTTGTGCAGCTGAACACACACTCTCTGATCCTCGTGGATGCGGCTCTTGTCCGCTGGAGTGTATTGGCTGTACATTTACATTCAGATTGCTAATTGCTTTGGTTTATCTAATAAGCGGCCCTGACTGTGCTTAAGAGCTCTGCCATTCAACATCAGCCTGTACTGCGTACTTCAACTCAATGATGACTAAATAATCACAAGATGTTTTTTCTTTAATATTTAAAACATTTCTGGAAGCATTGCACTTTAACAAATTGGCTTGGAATGTTAAAAATAATAATAATAATAATTATTATTATTAAAAAAATTTATTACACTTATTGTTGCAGTCAGATTATTCAGTTTATTCGAAATAATTTGAGTTTAATGCAAATAATTATTAGACCGCAACAATAATAATAATACAAAATAAATATTACAAATAATTTAAAATATTTATTATATTTTGTTGCATTCAAATGATTTTCTAAGTTATTGTAAATAATCGTTGCAACAATAAAAATATAATAAATATTATATGATAATCATGATTTAAAATATTCCTTATTGTTGCAGTCTAATTATTATTGTATTTATTCTGATTTATTGTAAATAATCACTAGACTGCAACTAAATATTTTAAATAATAATCATGATTTCAAATATTTCTTATATTTTATTGTAGCAGTCTAATAATCATTTTATTTTTCTAAATTGTTGTAAATAATAATTGCAACCACGACATTATTATTATTATTATCAAAATACAAAGTATTTATGTTAAACTGCAATTCTTTTATAAATATATATTTTTAATTCACTGGCAGAACCAATATTAAAGAAGCAATATACAGTAATAAGGATGAAGCATAACTATCGATACATGATCTATGATCAATCTCTTGCTGTTACGACCCCCCCCCCCCCCCAAAAACTCTTTTTGCAAAGGGGTTTAAGTTTAGTAACAC